ACTAGCCGGACATCCCCAACTCACACACTCTATTGGCTCCCATCACCTTGGCATTCCCAACACCAATCACAGGGAGCAAAGCACCTGAAGCGGCAGCCACAAACTTGATCTTCCCAGGGGGCTTTACCTCATCAAGCAAATCTGCCCGTGGGGTCATGTGACTTGTGCAACCTGAATCAATCACCCAGTGAGTGAGGGGGTGCATCACAACCTTCCCAACCACACATCACCCCCACTCCCTTCTCATATCCTAAACTATGAGAACGTACCAGGGTCAGCTTTACCTGTGTGCACCATCACCTTGCACAGCACCCCTCGTGCGCATTCACCACTTGGCGGTATCATGCCTAGGGGCTCCATCCCTCAGGCCGGCTGAAACACTTGAACCATGGGTGTCCAGCCTTCTTGCAGTACCAGCAAGCACCCTCCATTCGGGTGCTCCCCCTGCCACCAGAGCTCCCATGCCCCTCATTGTAGTCACTCTGGCCTCTCCGTCTGCCCAAGCCTCTCCCACGGCCCCCGCCTCTCCCTCCCCTCTACCTCTGCTGCCTCTTGCAGCTCCATACCCCTCAGCAGTTTTGTTGGCAGCGCCACCACCCATGTGGCGCCTGTGGAAGTCTCCTGCAGTGCCGTAGCCACTCAGGCGTCCACTGATCCTGCTGAGTGTTGAGGGTGGGGATGAGGTTGTCCCACGAATTGTCGAGCACCGAGATGATCTTGGTGCACTGCTGCATCTCCGACACCTTGCTGCCCGCCGCTGCCATCTTCGCATTTGTGTCCTTAATCTTGTCCAAGTCCGGCTTCACATCATCGCCCGGTCGCACGGAGAGGGCAACCAACTCCTTTTCCAACACAATCACCATCGGCAGCGTGTTGGGCTGATCCATCGCGTAGCAGCTTCCACGCCTTCGGCCCAGAGTCATCCAGCTCCACCAAAACCTTGATGTGCTGAAACATGTCGTTGTTGACCGACAGTAGAATTAGGTCGTACAGCACCGCGCTCTTCTCAATCCACCGATCGCGGGCATCTCCTTCCTCCGGCATCTTCTCTTCTCCCATTGCAATTTTCAGCAGCTTGTAGCGCTTGAAGGCGCTCCGCATCCGCCCGCTCCATTCCTCATAGTTGGAGCCATCCAATGCCTCAATCTTGGATGGTGGCGGCTCACTCCTCTTCTTAGCTGTATCCCCACTCCCTTGATTCATCTTCTCTGCTCCCAATCACAGATTTCAGCTCCCCTTTGCTGGTCACAATGTAGATCCACAAAATCTTCACAAGTGCCAGCGCCAGCGAAATTTCGGCAGAGTTTCCCCTTAGCGGAAGTCACATCCAACCTCCAGAACCACTTAGGCACGCCCACAGGCCATGGTGGGTCTAGGAGGGTCTTCACACTTCAGTAGACTCCCCACAAAGTCCTTAATCAGCTCTGATACCACTTGTTAGAGACTAAGGACGGAGTCTAGAACGTTTAGGGGCCGAAATAACTCAAACTTGTTGGGATAGACTTCTGAACAAGAATGTCGACATCACAAGAAACGTCGTCGACGAAAATTGCACCGTTAGAATGTAGCACTTCACCGTGGCTATCTTTCTCAATTTGAATCGTATCCAAAGATGAACTATAACTCGAGTTATGAATTTTGGCACAATAGGGGGTATGCTGCCATAAAAGTTTAACTCACTCACAATTGTTCTCACAGTTACACACAAAAAAGTTAGAGTACCAATAAACAAGGTAGGAGAGAAGAGGAGGATGAGAAGGGAAGGCCCCAAGAGAGTCCCCAACCAAGAAAACCCCATGCCACACAATTCTTCTCTCTATAGGCACCCAACTTTGTCATTTGTCACTTTCCCAACCTCCACAATCCACCTCACCCAGTTGTCCAGACTTGCCAACCTGGTTTGGTTTCACCCAACCACTTGGCAGCATCTACAGTGATGGGGACGAATTTCCCAACCCCCAAAAGTCTGTACCCCATATTGAGTCACTCCACAAATTCTCATTGTCATTGCAACCCAAAAGAAAAGGCATACGAACTTCGAACGTTTGTAAATTTCTCGTTCATGCTCCGATTGAAGCGATTGATGGTTCGACGAAAAGCTATTGAGCAGAGAAGTCACTTCAGTTATCTGCTCAAGCCAAAAACATTCACACACACTCAGAAAATCCAAACCACACCAAACACAAATTCTTGCATGCATGCACACCACGCACCCAAGGTAGTAGAAACATGATAGGAGGCATACAGACGCGAATGCATATGATTGCATCACACAACAAACTCCCCCTCTGGCTGCCAACCATCATCCCACATGCCTCAGCTCATGCATGCACACTCAATGCACACTCATTTCAACAAGTTCATTCACATCCAACACTCATCCCAATGGATAGTCATCTCCATCCAACGTCCCTTCCAACATCTCCATTTTTTTCTCAAATCTGCAGCCGGTACCACCTTTGGCATGCCAAGACTCGGATAGGTCATTGTAGTAGGAGGGTGGACATCCCTCCTTGGACATTCTGGAGGGTGTGGGGCATTTGATGGAGCACGTTGCTGCTGCTGCTGCTGCGGTTGCTGCTGCTGCTGCTGCTGCTCCACCTCAGGTTCTCCCCCATCCTCTGTCAGCCCAAAGATATCCTCCTTTGAGACAGAAACATCCACTTGCCTCGAAGGCCGTTGCACCTCATCGGCCCCAACGATCAGCAGTGTCGTAGGAAGCTTCTGCTGTTGTTGCTTCCACTCTTTATGGTACAGGGATTTAAGGAACTTCACATCCTTGACACAGTCAGCTGCTGGCTGGTCAAGTCCCATATCAACCAGCCCTTGTGATCCTTAGCAAGCCCCAAGTGCACACCCCATCTTATAGAAGCCTCCAACTGTCCCCTCTTCTCCTTGGGCACATGAAACACCACCATGCAACTGTAGGCTCTCAGCATGCAACTGCAGGTGCACTCCCATACCACTTGGTGTAGGGGACCCACTGCTTGTCCCCCACTGTCCACCTACTTGGGCAAGCGTTGGGGAGCAGCCAAATCCGTCACATCAAGCCATTCCAGCATAAACCAGAGAAGGGACTACAGGCATAGGCAGCTCTCAAGGGTTTACATGCTCCTACAACAGCGACGGTAGCGGTGGATTGGAGCGGAAATAGCAGCACTACAAATTCTTTGAACCGGTTGAAGAAGAGGTGCAGAAATTCTTCGACTTGTTGACACAGCTTGAAGTGGCTGATTTGAACTATAGTGAGCGACCTGCCGCAGTGCATTCACTCAAAACGGATCCGGCAGCCCTGCACGCCCAAGGAGAGTGCGAGCACCTTCTTGCAGGGTCCGGTTGAACCGCTCATCTACGCCGTTCTGCTGAGGGTTGTAGGGCACTGTGAGCTGATGCTGAATGCCCTTCTTCTTCAGCACCGCCTCAAACTCATTGCCAATGAACTCTCCTCTGTTGTCAGTGTGGATCACCTTCACCTTGTGTCCGCTCTCCCTTTGAGCTCTCGGCATCCACTCCTTAAGAACAGCCGCTGCCACCTCCCCCTTAGTCTTAAGGGGGTACACCCACACCGCACGCGTGTAGCCGTCCACAATTGTTAAGAAGTAGCGGCTGCCCGAGAGAGAAAGGTCCTTGTGGGGCCCACCACATCCATGTGCCCATGCGCGAGTGGTGCCTTGGCTGGTCCCGTGCTGCTGCTGAAGGGAAACTTCGTGAATTTGGTCTCAAGGCATGTAGGGCAGCTCTCAATATCCTTTGCTGCCCCCTTCACCTCCAGCCCCTTCAAGCTCCCATCCTTCACCAACTTCTGCAGTATGGGAATGTTCACATTACAACCTCTCGTGCCACGTCTCCCAATCTGTTTCTGTTGGGTGCAAATTCACTTTGCACGACATCCTGCCATCTGTTTGTACGAGTATGCGTGTGTGCGAGTGGATTTGCATGTGAATGGTGTGTTCGTGTGTTTGTTTGCTTTCGCAATTTTCGCTTGAAGCATTTGCAGGTACTCGCACAATGTGCGCTTCGGCACAACATTGTACGCGCTATGAACAGTGCAAGCAGAAAGGACGAGCTCGCAAAGGAACCCAAGATGGAAGCTTTGCAGTTCGGTTGAGTTGATTGTGCAGATTCAGTTCTATCCAACTCGAAATTGTACTATTTTGTTTGGTTGACTATAGTGTAGCAAGGCAGGCACTATAGGGGTACAATTTAGGTGAAGGTTGGATGTTGTTTGTCTGTATCTGCATGCTACAAGGCCAGGGGAAACCAGCAGAACCAGCATTTGGCTGGTTGGGCAAAGACAAAACAGGTTCTGTTTTTAGAACCTGAACCTGGTTGTTGTTTTCCCAGGTTGGAAAAACAGAACCAGAGGTTGTTTTCCAACCTACCACCTGCTGTTTTGTCCAGCCAGGTTGGTTCTGTTGCTTGGAATTATTTGGGATCATCCCTGGTTGTTCCCAGGTTGATTCCCAAGGTCTTTGCTAGCTAGAACTATTTATTCCTTCTCTGTTTGTACCTGGATATAGTCAATTGATTCATGCGAATTCCTTCCTCGCTGGAATTTCGTTTCTACGCGGTTCGACGGCGGAATGCTACCCGAGTCAACGCTAGTACGCTAGCACTCTAACGCTAGGCAAACACTGTCCGAGCCATAACTTCGTAATGGCAGAACTTTTTGCGAGGCAACTTGGCTTATTTTAAAGCTCTTGGAGAGAGCTTCGATATAGCAAATTCTCAGCTTAATCCGATCGACGGTCTGCACGGCACGCTGCGCGACGTTCAAGGTACTCTTGTTATTTTGGCTAAGTCTTTCTTGACTCCTCTCTCTACAAACTCGGACCCGAGAATAGGGGCTGGTCTTGTGCCAGGCACCCAGGGACCCTTGGAGGTGATCCCGAGGAGAGGTTTTAAGTTTGATTAAGTCCTAATAGCTTGAGTTTATTAGGCCCTTACACCAACAAGCTGGTATCAGAGCTGTGTTATAGTGATCCTCGTTAAAGGTAGCTATGGCGGGCAACACCTCGGCTATAGCTGGTGAATCTTCAGGCCAAGATCGTAGCGGCAGCCAAGATTCTGGTGTTTCAGCGCCAAGGGGAGCGCGAACAAACCAGGGCTCGCTGATCAAGGAGGTGCTGAAGAACTTCACCGTCGAGAAGTTCAATGGTGAGGGCTATGATGATTGGGCCTGGAAAATGCAACTCTACTTCCGTCAGATTGGATTGCTGAAACTAATGATTGGGGAGGAGCCTAGACCGAGTGACCCCGCCCTGCAGGAAGATTGGGACGAGCGTGCCTCGGCTGGCTACTACTTGATGTCGCAGAGTTTGGAGCTGAATCAGCGTCACCACGTCATGCACTTGCTGCCGGAGGTTGATTGCGGTCCGAAGGCGTGGACCATGTTGAAGGAGCTGCACGCCCCTACCTCCGTCGCTGCGACGCTCATGATGGAGAGGGAGCTGTCCGTGTTGCGCCTGAGCGAGGGAGAGCCGGTGCAACCCATCCTGTTCAAGATGCGCGACCTCTACGCGAAGCTGGCGATTGCGGGAATCACCTACCCGGAGCAGACCAAGTGCTTGAAGATGCTGTCGCTGCTGCCGGAATCGTGGCTTCAATTCACGAGCGGATTGAGCCTGCCGCAGAACCAGAGCTTGTGGACGCTCGAGTGGGTGCGGACAAAGATTCTGGAGGAGGACTTCCGTCGCCACCAACTGAGGGGTGGAGACGACGGCAGCAGCGGGTACGGGATGCAAGGGAGCCGACGTGGGGGAGGACATGGCTTCGGTGGTACTGGGCGCGGTGCAAAGAAGGACGACGACTCCAACGACCAACAAGGAGGTACCGGTTGGGGTCGTGGTGCGAAATCTGGACGTGGGGGCAAGTCGGGTGCTGGTGGCAAAATGAAAGGGAGTTGCTGGTACTGTGAGAAGGAAGGGCATCCCTGGTTCTTGTGCTATAAGAAACCCGATGGATGGACCCCCCAGAATCGTCACCAGGATGGCGGTGCGCGGAGGAACCAGAAAAACGGCGCCAACATGGTCGCTGATTCGTCCGACAACAACCCAAAGGGCAACGGCGGTGCGGAGAAGAAGAAGGAGCGCACCGCGGGCCAATTCTTCCATGTGGGAGACAAAGGGGAGCAAGGAGACGCATCTGCTAAGGTTGGAGCAGAGCTGCACCCCCTGGACTATTGGGTGTTGGACACAGGCGCTGCTTGGACGATGACGCCGCGCAAGGATCTGCTGGACGAAGTACGCACTGCGCCGATCAATGAGGTGTGCTCCGCCTCTGGACACATGTTGAAGGTGGCTGGTGCGGGACGAGCTGCGTTTAAGGGAGCGGATGGCAAGCCGGTGGTGCTGCACGACGTTCTCCTCGTCCCCGACCTGAAGGCCAACCTTATCTCCCTCCGTAAGCTTGGCAAGGCAGAGGTGAACACCAACACGGATGGGGCATGCACTTATAAGGGGAAGCTGGGCAATCGGGTGCTTTGGGATCTGCACGAGAGCAAGGACGTGTACAGATCTATGTGGCAGCTGCCGGCGCTGGCGTGGCACGGTGGGGGGCAGGCTGGAGAGGGGTCTGCATCCCAGGGGGAGTGCAACGCCGTTGGAGGAGTTGGTGTGAAAGTGTCGGCCAGATCTGGGGAGACGGATTGGGCAACGGCACACCGACGTTTGGGGCATGTGGCAATGCCTTTGCTGAAGCAGCTGGAGAAGGATGGAGCCGTTAAGGGCTTGAAGCTGAACGGACAACCACCCGATGATAACTGTGAAATTTGCCTCCTTTCAAAGTTCACCCGTTTCCCCTTCCATAGTGTGGCTGGCAGGAGCAAAAAGCCGTTGGAGCTGGTCCACATGGACTTGGTGGGGCCGCTGCCGATGCAAGGGCACAAGGGGGAGCGGTATTTCCTAACCATAGTGGATGACTGGAGCAGGCTAATGTGGGCGTATCCGCTGAAGCAGAAAGATCACGCCGCCTCCACGATTCGGGACGATTGGCTGCCGTTCGTGGAGAAGCAAGCGGAGTGTGTGGTGAAGCGGATTAGGACAGACCGGGGTGGTGAGTTCCTTGGAGCTGAGATGACGGCATGGCTCAAGAAGCAGGGCATTCAGAGGGAGCTGACCACGGCTTACACCCCACAGTCTAACGGTGTAGCAGAACGGGCGAACCGGACTATTCTAGAGACAGCTAGGGCGCTGCTCATAGAATCTGGGCTGGGCAACTCGATGTGGCCCCATGCTGTTCGGCACGCTACCGTGGCTAGGAACAGGGTGCTCACCAAGGTTGGGGATGACTCGTGGGTGCCGTTGGAGAGGTGGCTTGGGAGGAAGCCGCCGGTGGACATGCTGAGGGTGTTTGGCTGCATGGCAGTCGCCCACGTCCCCAAGACCTACCGCAATAAGTTGGGGGCGAGTGCAATCTGGTATGTGCATTTGGGGCTGGCTGCCGAGAGCAAGGGATGGTTGCTGTGGGAACCACGCAAGGGTGTGCTGTTTGACAGCAGGGTTTGTGAAGTTTGTTGAGGGCCTGATGTATGGGGGCTGGAAGCAACAGCCAGAGGCCAAGATATCACAGGAGATGGAGCAGATTACCATGCAGCTGGACCTGACTCCTAGTGTGCAGGAGGAGGGAGAGGAGGTAGCTGCAGAGGGTGGTGATGGAGAGAAGGTGCAGGAGGCACGTGCTAATGGAGGAGGTGATGTGGAGACTAGTGGTAGCATCAGGGAAGCTGCTGAATCTGAGGGAGGAGAGCAGCAGCAGGGCAAAGCTAAGGTGCCTAAGCTACCACAAAGGAGGAAGCCAAAGGGTGTTGTAATGAAGGGATGGGAGACACCCGTCTCTAGGCCAGGACGCACCCGCATGGCAACAATGAAGCTGACTGCAGGAGCTGATGCAGCAGAGCAACAGCTAGGGACCGAGGAGGCATTGCTGATTCTACCGCACGGCTATGACCCGGATGAGGAGGATGAGCCTGCGTACTGCTTTCTTGCCCCTGCACCAGAGGAACCAGCTAGCATGGAGGAGGCATTAGCTGGACCAGATAGGGACAAGTGGCTGGCTTCTAGGGATGCTGAGTACCAGAGCCTGCTGGAGAATGGGACTTGGGAACTAGTGGTGCTGCCTGAGGGAAAGAAAGCGGTACAATGCAAGTGGGTGCTAAGGATCAAGACTGACGACAAGGGGCAGGTCACCATCTACAAGAGTAGGTTGGTGGCTAAGGGGTTTATGCAGAAGGAGAAGCGGGACTTCAATGAGATCTTTGCTCCCACTGCCAAACCCCCTACCCTCCGTGTCTTGTTGGCAGATGCAGCCGTTAGTAGGAAATTCATTATCCAGATGGATATATCAACGGCATTCCTCAACGGGATTTTAGAGGAGGAGGTGTTCATGACACAGCCGCCTGGGTATGAGGATGGTACGGGCAGGGTGTGCAAGCTGAAAAAGTCCATCTACGGCTTGAAGCAGGCAAGTTGGCAGCTGTTTTAGAGAAGATATGGTTCAGGACCAGCAGCGTGATGAGAGCCTCTTTCTCAAGGGGGAGGGGGAGGAGCTGGTGATGTTTCTGGTCTACGTGGACGACATTCTTCTCTTCAGCAGCAGCATGAAGGAGATCCAGAAAGTGCAGCAGCAGCTGATGGAGAACTTCAAGTGCAAGAACCTTGGGGAGGTAAAGTACTACCTCGGGATGCACGTGGAGAGGGATCTGGATCACAGGTGGTTGAAGCTGCACCAGGAGAAGTTCATCAAGGAGCTGGGGGAGAAGTGTGGGATTGAGAATGAGCGCAAGGTTGCAACTCCCCTGCCAGCAGAATTCAAGCTTGTGAAGGCTGCAGAGGATGAAGGGGTTGAAGTTGAAGAGCAGCAGCAATTTCAGTCCTTGGTGGGCAGCCTCTTGTATGCAGCTGTTCACACGAGGCCCGACATCTCTTTCTCGGTTGGGCAGCTGGCCAGGGTGGTGCAGAATCCATCAGAGGAGCAGGTGGATGCAGCTGAGCGCGTGGTGAAGTATTTGAACTCTCACCCAAACATTGGAGTTCAATACTCCGCATCTGCACAGGTGAAGCAGAAAGGGGTTGAGGGTGCTAAAGGAGAAAGGGGAGAGGCTTCGAGAAGGCAAGCTCTTTCTCACTTGCTTTACCGATGCTACTTGGGCTTCTGAGAAGAAGGATTCCTCATCTGTGGGAGGATACATCTGCGTAGTTGGGGGTGGACCTGTTAGTTGGAGGTCCAAGAAGCAGACGGAGACGGCACTCTCCTCTGTTGAGTCAGAGTACATGGCAATGTTCCATGGGGTGAAGGAGGTGATTTGGCTGAGGAGGCTGTTAGAGGAGATTGGCCAGGAGCAGAAGGTCGCTACGCCGCTGTTTTGTGACAGCAAGGGGGCTCTTGGGATGGCCAGGAACGCTGTGCTTCATGGGCTGAACAAGCACATGCGTATCAAGTGGCACTGGCTGCGTAAGGAGGTGAAGAGGGGGACGATGAATCCGATTTACATCAAGACTCACCAGCAGCCAGCAGACTTTCTCACCAAGAGGCTTGCGGATGAGCCTCATTGGCGTTGTGTGCGCATGAGTGGAATGGGCATGAACTGGTATGGAATGATGGGAATGCAGCCGGCAGGCTGAGGGGGAGTGTGTTGGGTGCAAATGCACATTGCACGACATCCTGCCGTCTGTTTGTACGAGTATGCGTGTGCGATTGGATTTGCATGTGAATGGTGTGTTCATGTGTTTGTTTGCTTTCGCAATTTTCGCTTGAAGCATTTGCAGGTACTCGCACAATGTGCGCTTCGGCACAACATTGTACGCGCTATGAACAGTGCAAGCAGAAAGGACGAGCTCGCAAAGGAACCCAAGATGGAAGCTTTGCAGTTCGGTTGAGTTGATTGTGCAGATTCAGTTCTATCCAACTCGAAATTGTACTGTTATGTTTGGTTGACTATAGTGTAGCAAGGCAGGCACTATAGGGGTACAATTTAGGTGAAGGTTGGATATTGTTTGTCTGTATCTGCATGCTACAAGGCCCTGGCCTTGGCTGGTTGGGGAAACCAGCAGAACCAGCATTTGGCTGGTTGGGCAAAGACAAAACAGGTTCTGTTTTTAGAACCTGAACCTGGTTGTTGTTTTCCCAGGTTGGAAAAACAGAACCAGAGGTTGTTTTCCAACCTACCACCTGCTGTTTTGTCCAGCCAGGTTGGTTCTGTTGCTTGGAATTATTTGGGATCATCCCTGGTTGTTCCCAGGTTGATTCCCAAGGTCCTTGCTAGCTATAGCTATTTATTCCTTCTCTGTTTGTACCTGGATATAGTCAATTGATTCATGCGAATTCCTTCTTCGCTGGAATTTCGTTTCTACGCGGTTCGACGGAGGTGTTGGGTGCAAATGCACATTGCACGACATCCTGCCGTCTGTTTGTACGAGTATGCGTGTGCGAATGCATTTGCGTGTGAATGGTGTGTTCGTGTGTTTGTTTGCTTTCGCATTTTTCGCTTGATGCATTTGCAGGTACTCGCGCAATGTGCGCTTCGGCACAACATTGTACGCGCTATGAACAGTGCAAGCAGAAAGGACGAGCTCGCAAAGGAACCCAAGATGGAAGCTTTGCAGTTCGGTTGAGTTGATTGCGCAGATTCAGTTCTATCCAACTCGAATTTGTACTGTTTTGTTTGGTTAACTATAGTGTAGCAGGGAAGGCACTATAGGGGTACAATTTAGGTGAAGGTTGGATGTTGTTTGTCTGTATCTGCATGCTACAAGGCCAGGGAAAACCAGCGGAACCAGCATTTGGCTGGTTGGGCAAAGACAAAACAGGTTCTGTTTTTAGAACCTGAACCTGGTTGTTGTTTTCCCAGGTTGGAAAAACAGAACCAGAGGTTGTTTACCAACCTACCACCTGCTATTTTGTCCAGCCAGGTTGGTTCTGTTGCTTGGAATTATTTGGGATCATCCCTGGTTGTTCCCAGGTTGATTCCCAAGGTCCTTGCTAGCTAGAACTATTTAATCCTTCTCTGTTTATACCTGAATATAGTCAAATTGATTCATGTGAATTCCTTCCTCGCTGGAATTTCGTTTCTACGCGGTTCGTTGGCGGAATGCTACCCGAGTCAACGCTAGTACGCTAGCACTCTAATGCTAGGCAAACACCGTCTGAGCCATAACTTCGTAATGGCAGAACTTTTCGCGAGGCAACTTGGCTCATTTTAAAGCTCTTGGAGCGAGCTTCGATATAGCGAATTCTCAGCTTAATCCGATCGACGGTCTGCACGGCACGCTGCGCGACGTTCAAGGTACTCTTGCTGTTTTGACTAAGTCCTTCTTGATCCCTCTCTCTACAAACTCGGACCCGAGGATAGGGGCTGGTCTTGTACCAGGCACCCAGGGACCCTTGGAGGTGACCCCGAGGAGAGGTTTTAAGTTTGATTAAGTCCTAATAGCTTGAGTTTATTAGGCCCTTACACCAACAAGCTGGTATCAGAGCTGCGTTATAGTGATCCTCGTTATAGGTAGCTATGGCGGGCAACACCTCGGCGGGAGCTGGTGAATCTTCAGCCCAAGATCGTAGCGGCAGCCAAGATTCTGGTCTTTCAGCGCCAAGGGGAGCGCGAACAAACCAGGGCTCGCTTGTCAAGGAGGTGCTGAAGAATTTCACCGTCGAGAAGTTCAATGGTGAGGGCTATGATGATTGGGCCTGGAAAATGCAATTATATTTCCGTCAGATCGGTTTGCTGAAACTAATGATTGGGGAGGAGCCTAGACCGAGTGACCCCACGCTGCAGGAAGATTGGGACGAGCGCTCCTCGGCTGGCTACTATTTGATGTCGCAGAGTTTGGAGCTGAACCAGCGTCACCACGTCATGCACCTGCTGCCGGAGGTTGAATGCGGTCCGAAGGCGTGGACCGTGTTGAAGGAGCTGCACGCCCCGACCTCCGTTGTCGCAACGTTGATGCTGGAGAGGGAGCTGTCCGCGTTGCGCCTGAGCGAGGGAGAGCCGGTGCAACCAGTCCTGGACAAGATGCGCGACCTCTACGCGAAGTTGGCGACCGCGGGAATCACCTACCCGGAGCAGACCAAGTGCTTGAAGATGCTCTCGCTGCTGCCAGAATCGTGGCTTCAATTTACGAGCGGATTGAGCCTGCCGCAGAACCAGAGCTTGTGGACGCTCGAGTGGGTGCGGACGAAGATTCTGGAGGAGGACTTCCGTCGCCGCCAACTGAGGGGTGGAGACGACGGCAGCAGCGGCTACGGGATGCAAGGGAGCCGACGTGGCAGAGGACGTGGCTTCGGTGGTGCTGGACGCGGTGCAAAGAAAGACGACGACTCCAACGACCAACAAGGAGGTACCGGTTGGGGTCGCGGTGCGAAATCTGGACGTGGGGGCAAGTCGGGTGCTGGTGGCAAAATGAAAGGGAGTTGCTGGTATTGTGAGAAGGAAGGGCACCCCTGGTTTTTGTGCTATAAGAAACCCGATGGATGGACCCCCCAGAATCGTCACCAGGATGGCGGCGCGCGGAGGAACCAGAAAAACGGCGCCAACATGGTCGCTGATTCGTCCAACAACAACCCGAAGGGCAACGGCGGTGCGGAGAAGAAGAAGGAGCGCACCGCGGGCCAATTCTTCCATGTGGGAGACAAGGGGGAGCAAGGAGACGCCTCTGCCAAAGTTGGAGCAGAGCTGCACCCCCTAGACTATTGGGTGTTGGACACAGGCGCTGCTTGGACGATGACGCCGCGCAAGGACCTGCTGGACGAAGTACGAGCTGCACCGATCAATGAAGTGTGCTCCGCCTCTGGACACATGTTGAAGGTGGCTGGTGCGGGACGAGCTGCGTTTAAGGGAGCGGATGGCAAGCCGGTGGTGCTGCACGACGTTCTCTTCGTCCCCGACCTGAAGGCCAACCTTATCTCCCTCCGTAAGCTTGGCAAGGCTGGGGTGAACACCAACACGGATGGGGCACGCACTTATAAGGGGAAGCTGGGCAATCGGGTGCTTTGGGATCTGCACGAGAGCAAGGACGTGTACAGATCTATGTGGCAGCTGCCGGCCCTGGCGTGGCATGGTGGGGGGCAGGCTGGAGAGGGGTCTGCATCCCAGGGGGAGTGCAATGCCGTTGGAGGGGTTGGTGTGAAAGTGTCGGCCAGATCTGGGGAGACAGATTGGGCAACGGCACACCGGCGCTTAGGGCATGTGGCAATGCCTTTGCTGAAGCAGCTGGAGAAGGATGGAGCCGTTAAGGGTCTGAAGCTGAACGGACAGCCACCCGATGACAACTGTGAAATCTGTTTGCTTTCAAAGTTCACCCGTTTCCCTTTCCATAGTGTGGCTGGCAGGAGCAAGAAGCCTTTGGAGCTGGTCCACATGGACTTGGTGGGGCCGCTGCCGGTGCAAGGGCACAAGGGGGAGCGGTATTTTCTTACAATTGTGGATGACTGGAGCAGGCTGATGTGGGCGTATCCGCTGAAGCAGAAGGACCACGCCGCCTCCACGATACGGGACGATTGGCTGCCATTCGTGGAGAAGCAGGCGGAGTGTGTAGTGAAGCGGATTAGGACAGACCGGGGTGGTGAGTTCCTTGGAGCTGAAATGACGGCCTGGCTCAAGAAGCAGGGCATCCAGAGAGAGCTGACCACGGCTTATACCCCACAGTCCAATGGTGTAGCAGAACGGGCAAACCGGACCATTCTGGAGACAGCTAGGGCGCTGCTCATAGAATCTGGGCTGAGCAATTCTATGTGGCCTCATGCTGTCCGGCACGCCACTGTCGCTAGGAACAGGGTGCTCACCAAGGTTGGGGATGACTCGTGGGTGCCGTTGGAGAGGTGGCTTGGGAGGAAGCCGCCGGTGGACATGCTGAGGGTGTTCGGTTGCATGGCAGTCGCCCACGTCCCCAAGACCTACCGCAGTAAGTTGGGGGCGAGTGCAATCTGGTGTGTGCATTTGGGGCTGGCTGCTGAGAGCAAGGGATGGCTGCTGTGGGAACCATCCAAGGGTGTGTTGTTTGACAGCAGGGATGTGAAATTCATTGAGGGCATGATGTATGGGAGCTGGGAGAAACAGCCGGAGGCAAGGGTGTCCCAGCAGATGGAGCAGATCACCATGCAGCTGGACCTGACTCCTAGTGTGTGGGAGGAGGGAGAGGAGGCAGCTGGTGGAAATGGTGATGGAGAGAAGGTACAGGAGGCATCTGCTGGTGGAGAAAATGGTGTGGAAACTGGCGGCAGCACTAGTGGAGCTGCTGGACCCGAGGGAGGAGAGAAGCAGCAGGGAAAAACTAAGAAGCCGAAGGGTGTCGTTATGAAGGGATGGGAGACACCCGTCTCCAGGCCAGGACGTACCCGTATGGCTACTAAGAAGCTGACTGCAGGAACTGATGCAGCAGAGCAGCAGCTAGGGACCGAAGAGGCATTGCTGATTCTACCTCATGGCTATGACCCGGATGAGGAGGATGAGCCTGCGTACTGTTTTCTTGCCCCTGCACCAGAGGAACCAGCTAGCATGGAGGAGGCATTAGCTGGACCAGATAGGGACAAGTGGCTGGCTTCTAGGGATGCTGAGTACCAGAGTCTGCTGGAGAATAGGACATGGGATCTGGTGGTGCTGCCTGATGGGAAGAAAGCGATACAATGC